AGAGAGAGAGAGAGAGAGAGAGAGAGAGCGCCCCCTCAGGTGTATAGACCAGGATAACAGACTCCTGTGGTTTCTGCGGCCGAGCTCTGGGACTGATGCTGGATTCATCCAACAGGTTCTTTGTCTTGGTGTTGTTGAAAACAGGGAACAGTGTTTTGTCGTCTTCAGTCCGACTCTGTCGTCGCTCTGCTCATTAAAACGTAGCGTGCTGCTGCTTCCACTTCCACTTCCACTTTCTTTCTAACGACCTTGGGGGTGAATTAAAAATGACAGAGACTTTGAGATGTACCCGGTGTGACGATGACAGTCTGTCAGTGTCACTGTCACAGCTGCAGGGCCACAGCTTTACCACCGGGGGCCGATGATGTCACGTGGACCACAGGGATAGTTCCATTATTAATGCAGCGGTGATAACATGTGATCATGATTACTGCTGTGATTGATGGGAATATTTATTTATTTAGATTCTAACCAGGGATGTCAGATATTATCGGCCCCCGATATTAGCATAATTGTCTAATATCTGTAAGAATCCTTATCCGTTTCTCCTCCGATAATTAATGCAATGCCTCGGTTTCACCAAATGTTGTCTGCTCTAAAAAGAGTTTTAGGGGAAAACTGGCTGTATATGAAAGGGAACGCCACTAGATGGCAGCATTGCAGCTCATTTTATTAATCTATATTAATAACCAGGGGATTCTATGCATAAAAAATATATATAAATATTACCAGGCACTCAGGATTTTCCGCACTTAACTTCCTTAACCACCAGGTTATATCGGTATCGGTTGATATCGGAATCAGAAATTAAGTATTTGGACAATATCGGTATATCAGAAAGTTAATATTGGACATCCCTAATTTGAACCAAAAAGACACCAAGAGAGAAACCAAAATGTAAAAACATAAACAATAGGATCAAAAACAAAAAATACAAAGACAGAAAAAGCTGCGTCTCCATAATCACTAAATTGACAAAGTCCACTGTTTCTCCTGTAATGAGTGTGAAAAAAAAGACGCTGCTGCACTCACCTCCACAGAACAGTCTCTCTCTCTTTCTCTCTCTCTCTCTCTCTCTTTAGCTTTTTAGCTCATTTCATGTTTTTCGCCGTCACAGGTCGTTAAGGCGCTGATGGCTCCAGACCAGAAATGATGGACAATAACGCTCTTAACTCTCCATTGTGTGGCATCATTTTTAGGAGGCGCTGAAAAGAAAATGTGTGTTTGTGAATACGTTATAATGGAAGGGTTAAAGCACACGTAGGTGGCGCCGGTCCGCTGGACACCAACACCGGAAATCACAGACACAAATGTGTTTCCCAAACCTGACAACGCGTCCATTTAAAGGTACATAAACATGAAGAAACGATTACAGGTTTTCTTTAGTTCCAGGTTTGACACCGTCCATTTAAAGGTACATAAACATGAAAAGAAAGAAAATTCCTGTTTACAGGTTTTTTAGTTCCTGAAGCTGTGACCCAACCATAAACCCAACAGGAAGTGGTCCAATCCATATCCTGGACCAGTCAGAACCACAGTCATGAGGACTCACTGAGTTGGTAAGTGTCATTTTATTTGTTCTTGCTATAAAATCCAATTTCGCCAGTCATTTGGTCTGATTTATTTGTGACACTGGGTGTCCACCAGGGGGCCTATTTTGGTCCGACGTCCTAAGAATTACCCTGGCCCCTCTCATCAGGATCTTCATAGGGGGCGCCATTGAGTCTCTTCATCCTGCAGTATCAGGTTTGCTCTGATTTCACTCTTTTGTCTTTGCGTCACATTTGAACCCATGTTAAAAACAGTCTCTCCGCTCTGGGCCGTGGCTTTCTCACCACCGTGTTCTTCCTATTTCTTGTAAAATCACTCATAAGGGCATTGTCACAAACTGTCGGGGCTGTGGACCAACACCATCAGCTGCGTTCAGCCCGGTGCCTCAGGTTATTTATGGCTTTTACTGCCCTGTTGTAACAGAAGTGAATGTGACCAGTGATTCCAAAACAGCTCTTTCTGCTCCCAGTTCTCTTTTCCTGTTTCCTTCCAAACCGACCAGACTGCTCTATAAATCTGCCCAGGTTTGTTGGCGACGTTCAGCGGGACAGTGGACAGACGCCACGGAGCGAAGCTAATTATCAGCACGTTTCATTGATCTATCTTCATCACACATTTCATTTAAGAAAATGGATGACGACTGAATCAGTTAGTGGACACGGACTGAAATAACAAGAGCTAACGTTAGCTCTGGTGTCTGTACCAGGACTGTTGTAGCTAACGTTAGCTCTGGTGTCTGTACCAGGACTGTTGTAGCTAACGTTAGCTCTGGTGTCTGTACCAGGACTGTTGTAGCTAACATTAGCTCTGGTGTCTGTACCAGGACTGTTGTAGCTAACGTTAGCTCTGGTGTCTGTACCAGGACTGATGTAGCTAACGTTAGCTCTGGTGTCTGTACCAGGACTGTTGTAGCTAACGTTAGCTCTGGTGTCTGTACCAGGACTGTTGTAGCTAACGTTAGCTCTGGTGTCTGTACCAGGACTGTTGTAGCTTAGCTAACGTTAGCTCCGGTGTCTGTACCAGGACTGTTGTAGCTACCGTTAACTCTGACGTCTGCATGTGTTGAATCTCTAGCGCCACCTTCACCTCACAATGAACTGAACAAACTGTGTGTGTTCCAACGGCCGACTTAAGGCCTCATTGGTTAATGACCGTGGTGTGAAAACCTCTTCTGTCTTATGATAACGAACCTCTGCGAGCGATTGACTCAGAGTAACGATAAAAAGTTGGAACCTCCCGAGGCCACGTTTGTTTAAACAGCCACATCCTGTTGGAGCTCCTGGTGCTGGAAGCCGGAGTCTGATTAAAGCTCATGAAGAGGAATTTCATACGGCGTACAGAGAGTCAGTGTGACAGCTCGGGTGAGTCGAATCAACCCCCTCAGCATCACCCGTCTGCACTCTGTTTCCAGAGTCTGTCCATCCATCCATCACTCTAGACAGAACAAAAGAGGAGAAGAGGAAAAAAACCCTCAGTTGTGACAGAGCTGTGTGATGATCAGGGCTGTTAGACTCCTGTCAGACCGCGGAGTTTCTGCTGCTGAACTGTTGTCCTATGATCAAGAGTTCCTTTTTTATTTTTAAAATAACAAATTGAAATCTAAAAACAGCTAACACTGCTCTGGTCTCGTTAGCACGCTAGAATTGTTAATGTCTTATTTACATTTGTCATTTGGACCCAAAAGTTACACTTTGTGTTTTCAGGTTGTTTTTCTCTCTGCAGATCTTCATCAAAAGTGAATGAATTCAGCCTCTTTTGGATGCAAAGCAGCGGTTAATTAATTAAATAAGAAGAAACAGGACGGTGTTTCAACGCTGATGTAATGAATCACTAATGCCCTGGCTCTCATTTCCATATTCAGTCAAAGATCTACACTGGGAGCTGCTTCCAGAGGTAGAAGTTTCGGTGCGGGGCAGTTAGGTGGCACGAATGCATAATGGCTAATTATTTCTCATGCATTTTAAAAATGCTAATGATGCAGGAGGAAGAAAAAGAAGAAGATGGAGAGAAAAAGATTCTGCAAGCAGCATGAAATGACCAAACGAGGCTGCAGGGTTACATCACGAGTCAAACGACGCGTCGGCACAATTCTGGATCTTTGAGCTCAGCAGGAGAGCGAGCGCCGTGTGGTCAGGAGGGTCAGAGGTCATGAGCAGCCATCATTGGTTGAGGGTTCATTTAGTTGCTGAAAATGTCACAAAAAAAGCTTTTAGAAAAAACAATCTCCTTAAATCCAAAGAAGAGACATTTATTATGTTCTTTCGCTTAATATTCAGCGCCGTCGTCACAGATTCAAACAAAATAAATAAATAAATGTCAAAGCTTTAAAGCTATCGATTTTAGTTTCTTCTTGACTCTCTCCCAGTCCTGATCTGGAGGTCGAAGCCCCGCGGAGGCCAATCAATCACTGATAATGTTCCGTCGTCCGTTTGTTGTTTTCCCAAGTGTGTTTGGGATCATTGTCCGACTGAAAGATGAACTCGCTGCTAAAAGGGTGCTCCGGAGTTGAACCCGCTCCCTAACGCCATTAGGTGAAATGCAACCCAGAAACATCACAGAGGCCCAGCCTCGCTCTACTTAAGCTTGGAGACAGACATCCATCTTCAGAGAGTCTCTTCTCTCTTTGACTGACTTTGTTCCAAAAACTCACTTTAGAACCTGAATTATGATTTCAGGATGGAACATATGGCTCTACATCATCACTTCCAAGATGGAACAAACGTT